TATCACTTAGCACAATGTCTTCAAGTGTCATCCATATTATCTCATATTGCAGAATTTCTTTCCTCTTTACAGTTGCGTACTATTCCGCTGCATGTGCACACATTCTGCTTATCCATTCACCATCCATGGCATGGCACTTAGGTTGCTTCCACGTTTTCAGCTTGGTTGACATTTAACTGATGTCACTACTGCTCAGACTGAGATGTAGAACATTTCAGTACCAGAGGTCCCCCTTATAGTCCTTTCAGACACTACCTACCACCTCCCCCCATTAAGCCAACTTTGTGTTCTTCTGTGTCTGGATTCTGTTGCTCAGCTTTATGTCTGTGAGGTTGATCCATGTTGCTTGTACCAGTAGCTCACTCATTCTTATTGCTGCTCGTGTTGCATTGCCTAAATATTCCACTGTTTGTGCCTTCCGCTGTCATGGCATTTGGGCAGGGTCATGGGCTAATATGGGACACTTGGGTTGCTTCCACCTTTTAGCCATTGTGAAAAATGTTGCTGTGATCCTGAGTGTACAAATATTTCTTTGAGTCCCTGCTTTCAGTGCTTTTGGGTATTTACCCAGAACTGGAATTGCTAGATCATATATAGTAATTCTATTTTCATTTTTTTATAGAACCACCATACTGTTTTCTATAGCAGTCACACTGACAGCAAACAAAGTGTTCCAATTTCTTCATGTCTTTGCCAACACTTGTTATTTTCTGGTTTTTGATAGTAGCTATCCTAATTTGTGTGAGGTGGTATCTCATTATGGCTTTGATTTGTATTTCCCTAATGATTAGTGATGTTGAACATCTTATCGTGTGCTTATTGGCTATTTGTATTTCTTCTCTGGAGAAATAAATGTCTATTCAAGCCCTTTGCTGGTATATTAGTTGGGTTGTTTGGGGTTTTTCAGGTTGAATATAGGAGTTCTTTATATATTCTGTATATTATCTTGTTGCCTTTTGACATGCCCCCGCCATTCTTCCGGTACTTTCTGACTGTCCGAGACAGTCAGATGCTTCAGATGCTCTACTTCCCCTGCCCAGCCTGGAATCTAAGGAGCCCCGGCTCCTGTTAGTGGAGAACAGCATTTAGAAATAGATCTGTGTTTCAGGTTTGCTCACTGGTCTTGGAGGCTTGCTGTTCCCAGGCCCTGTCAGTGGTCAGAGCTAGAGAACGCGTGTGTGTGTGTGTGTGTGTATGTGTGTGTCTGTGTGTCTATATGTGTACATGTCCTTATATTTACATTCACTTCCATATGTACACAAAATCTGGCTCCCACCATCTTTAACACATTCACTCTTGCTCAGTCCCTCTGTCCATGGCCAGTCTCCTGCTGCCCTGGCGCCGCCTCACTCGGCCATCTCCTTGCTCCCCCCAACCCCCCCTACCCCCACTGCCGGCTTCAACAAGTGTCAGGGAAGGGAAAGGGGCCCAATGGCTTTCTGAGTGAATTATTCAATTATTCAGGAAGGAAGGAAGCAACGAAACAAGGCCAGCGCCAGAATTCCAGGAGCGTGAGGACAGCGGCTGTGCATTTCTGCCTTTGTGACTGGCTGGGAGCCTGAGGACTTGCGTTCACTGACCCCAAGGCCGTGACTTCAGCCTCTGCCTCAGTGCTCCTGGGAGGCTTGTTGGCTGGCCCTGAAGCAGGGATGCCCACCAGACCTGGGGGTAAGCCGCTCTGCCCTGGCCCCACACCTGTAAGGCTGACAACTGTTGGCAGCTGCTGGAAGTGGGGACGCTGCCCCGGGCCCGCCCAGGACTTGAACCCTATCAAGAGACCCTGGGCCTGGCAGGATGAGGCACGACGCTGCAGCCTTGGGGCCCCCTGCCTGCTAGGGGGAACTGGCAGGCTGTCCCAGGGGGTCAGGCTGGAAATGGGAAGAGATTCATCCGTGATGCAGAAGCTCTTGGCTGCATACAACCTCCGCACCCCTTGCTCACTTAAGCTGCACTTTAC